CTGCTCCGTCCAGCACTCGCACCCCGGCAGAGGCCTGCCGGAGCCGCCCGGGAGGTGAGCAGCGGTCTTTCGGGCGAGTCTGTGACTCTAGAAGGAGTTGGGATGGATGCAGACAGTAAAATAGTGTGATGAAATGGTATAGGCAAGAACTAGAGGGTAAGGCACACCTGCTTGGAAACTGAAGCTTAACCATGCTATGGGTTAACTGCCATCATGCATCTGTTGCACACAGTATTTCTTATAAAAGATGATGATGAAAATCTATGCTTAAATGTAACAACTGCCAAAGACATAAGGTTTCCCTTTTTTTTTAAAGTAACAGAGAGGCCCAACAGTTATCAAACATGGACAGGTGACTGGTGAACGGTGTTAAGAATATTACCTTGGATAAGAAAAAAGAGAAAAAATGCTAGTGAGTACACCCTTAATATCACTATACCACTTTAAACTCCTACACAGGGAGAAGTTCTAGCCTGAGTAACTAAGATATCCATTAGTAACAAACTCTGCTATTTTGTCTTCCATTGGTAGCACATGAGCCTAAGGAATCCCTTTCAACCCTGTAGATAGTGTTAAGCAGCTGCTGCTCTGCTTCAGCTGTTTTTGTTTTATAACCTTAGGTGGAAGGGGAAAGATACCAGACCTTTTTTCCTCCCCGGATCGATTACCATGGCTGAAGTTAGACCTACAAGAGTAATATGAAACTGGGGTAATAACGAAAAACATGGATCCAATGTAAAGGTGTCTCCGCTGGCAAGCAAGAGCAACCTCGTTTCTCTTGGTGAGGCTGGATGTTAATGGTGATCATGTGTAACAGATCACTGATAATTGCATGCAATGTTTGTGTAGGTGATGTGTCTCTGTGTGTGTATATTTATAAAGGATCGTATTTTGAGCACACAAGAAGCAAGGGTGAATCAATTAAGTATAGAAATATCTCCCATAATTGTACTTTAACAGATTGTGTACCTTTACATCATTGTGACTAGAAAGACTGTCCCTTCTCAGAGTATTGTATTGGGAGTATTTTAGGACATCTGTGCTTAAATTGATGGTCTTGGGATAGGTAGAAAATTGCACATGGTGGAAACTGGGGTTCCTCAGTTATGGGAACAAATAATATGCAATTATGTATTAATCTGTTAGAAAAGGTTCTTTTTTATTATCAAGGAGCTGACTAGGTTGGTATAAAAAAAGTTTGACTAATGTGTTCTGGGTTCAAAAAAATTACAGCTGGTATCCATCACTGTAAAGAAGTCCTCTGATTTGAAAATCATTCTTACTTTTATTTTTATATTTTTTTTAGTTCTGCAAAAAGCATGTATTATATGGCATACAATGGTAAGCCAGAACACATTTTAAAGATTGAGATCACGCTTTACAAGCAGGGATTTTGTGTTATGCACCTATATCCCTCTGCTTGGGTGTGCAGAACCGGGCAAAACAAAAATGCTCTTTGAGTAATTTTTGGTGAAATCAAGTCTTTTGTAGTCCTCCAGCGTTTAGTATGTTACTAATATTTTGTGCAATTACTGTGCTATAGTAATATAGATCACAATATTATTACATACTATCATTTTGCGTGAGTATTTTTGGAATCATATCTCTGAGTAAAACCATACCAAATATAAATTGTTTGGCTTTTAGCACTTTGGATAAGAGTAATGGTACAGGATTCAGGAAGTCTGTGTCATTTGAGCTGAAAGCCAAAACCCTTGCAAGTAGGACTGATTTGAGAATTGTGCATACTCTGCTTGCAGATTGTCTGTGCACTACTAACGCTGCCCTAACTGACCCAAATGAAGGTTTTTGAAGCCATCAACAACATGAAGTGGGGAGGCTGCACAGAACTGAATAATGGAACTGAGTGAGTGTGGTTATGTCTTTCGGGAAAGGCTAGGGCAAGTTTTTGGTCTCTTTCTCTCTCTTGCTTTCTTTTCTCTCTCTCTCTTGATATAATGGTGTTTTACTGGAATTGAAACAAGCAGAAAGGAGACTACCTCGAATCCATGTCAGGAGCTTGTATAGAAAGATTCAGATTTAAGGACACTTATACAGGAGAGTGGTCCTACCCTTGGCAGTTAGCTGATGCCTTCTCCCAACAAACTACAGTTGGGGGTGCACAGGAGACGTTTATCAAACATTGCCTCCTCTGTGGTTCTAGCAAAGGCAAGCAGGTGAACAGTGCCTTACAGCTTCTGCAGGAAGCAGTTAAACAGCATTTGCTTGTAAGAGCAAGCAGAAGACCTAACGGAAGTGTAAAAGTTGGTAAGAACATAAGGGTAATTGGAAAGTACACAGGATGAACGTGCAAATGCCAAGGTGTTTTACTGGATAATATACGTATAGGGCTCAAAGGGAAAGGAGTACCACCTCTAGCACAAGATTTCAGCTTCCTCACAACAAGCTCAGGTTACACATGTGCACGTTGGTGACTAACAAGGCCAGATCCCATTGTCTTCCTCTGGAGACATTTGGAAGGGAATCTCCCAGCACCGCTATGGAGTCTCAGTCTCTCCTACCTATCCTGGGCTCCCACTATGGTGCTTATGAATTTGTCAAAATTCTTGCACACCTGTGACAGCTGCCTAGCAACCTGCAGTTCCAGGAGATAGAGGAAGGCTTCAAAGAGAACGATCCTCACTGCTTGAGGACCTCCAGCAAAAAGGCTGTTACTCTCATGCTAGAGAAGCAATGGGCTAGGTCAGGACAGGACAGGACAGGAGGACAGCAGAAGGAAGAGGAAAAACTTATCCTTGTGGAAATAAAGCTGGAAATGACCTGAGAGACCACATACTGCTCCCAAGAGTTTTATGCTGCACACATGAGAGGCATAGGCTCATCAAGACTCCCTTGGTTGTCAAGGCAGCTTATGTCAGCACAGCTCACCATTTTCTGTGCCCTGAGAGACTTGTGACTGACACACACAATAATCAACACACCAGCCCTCCCACTGGGCCTGTAAACACCATATGGAAGCATATGACATCATAAGTGTTTCATTTAATATTGCCCCTGCAAGAGGCTTCACTGTAACAGTAACAAGAAGGCATCTTTGCCAAGAGCTGCCCAGGGCCTAAAGACTCCAGGCAGCAATAGTGCCTCCGGGAAAAAGTCAGAGAATGAAGGAGAAAGTCCGAGCAGCTCCAGTGTAGCCACAGTCCAAAGATACAGAGCTGCTCCAGACAAGCGCTGGCCAGCACTGGAGGCGAGGACTCTGGCCAGGTCCAGTAACAGTGCTGAAGGCAGAGGGCTCAGGAGCGGCTCCGGTCTTCATGGTTGCCTACAATCATTTTGCTGTAGAGTTTCTGTTGTTCCTCCTTAAACGTGTCTTTCACCTTCTCCCTCTTCAGACCTCCATCCCTGGGGCAAGAGTCATATCATCACAGGAGCTATGGGCAAGCACTGTGTGAAACTTCTGCTGGGGTCGCTCAGAGCAGGCTGGAGCTCCCACGACACCTGAACAGCTGTGTTTGTACCTCAGGCTGCCAGGGCTCACTGCAGACAGGTCATCCCTAAGGGGAGTTACTTTCACACCTTGCTCTGCCCGAAGGCACACCCACGGCCCCACGCTTTGCTCAACATGGCCCCACTGTCAGAGGTGGGAGCTCCAATACAGTTAACTGGATGCTGCTTGCAGAGTCCCTCTACCGCCCAGGCCCTGAAGATGTCAGTGTCTGAAAAGGGAGGTTTCAAGCTCAGCCGGTTTTGCTGAGCAGCACTGAGTCAGAATCAGGGCATCCCAGTGCAAGCTGGGATCACAGAATGAGGCCCTGCTGCCCAACACACACAGCAGAATCAAAAACTTGGGTCCCAACTTTATAGAACAGCAGTTCTGGAGGTCACAGGCAAGATATAGCTTCATTTCCCCACAAGCAAGACACAAACTTAGCACTGCAGCACACAAGCACATGCTGGGACTCAGGAACAAGGAAGCCTGTTACCAGGTAGAGAAAAGCCGACTTGGACTTACCAGAGCAGATCCACAAGGCCTCCCTGCCTGGCAATAGCTGATTTCACTCGATTGGCAAACTGGACAGCGTCCTCTTCAGGCTGTGGGAGGATAACACTCTTCAGCAGAAGCAAAGGGAGAAACAGGCAGCAGCTCAGACAGGCCAGGTCCAGCTTACTTACCTGCCTGGTCATTGGGGGCAAGTACCAGACACTGCAGACAATGGCCCAGCTGGTCATCATCCTAAGGAGGTAGGTCACCATGCCATATTTGCTGCTGTTCCAAAAGGCATCTCCAAACTGTGGGTCATACTTCAGAGACAGGAGAGCTCATGAGGCTTGGGTGATGTGCACACCCTCCCTGAGGCTCCAAGTTCCACCCCCTCCCCCCAAGAGCACTACACAGAGTGACCTCAGCCCCCCCATGCCCTCGGTCCAGACCATTAACCCAGCCATGCCAAGACTGAGCACCCAAGATTCAGCTCTCATACACAGAACTACTACTGCTGTAAGAATATTTGCCTTCTCATACCTTAATGGCTACAGGATAAACTGTGGCTCCAATTTCAAAGCTTCCTTTCTTGAACATCATCACAGATGTGTTGTTGATGCAGGTTCCTGTAAGAGGTGAGCACAATCTCCTCAACTTCCCTTTCCAAGTCAGTTCAAGAGTCTAAGCTATATGCTTAAGGGCTAAGGCCACAGGCACCCAGCACCTCCCCTGCTCACTCCAAACCGTGTTCCCTGCGGCTTGCATGGCATACGTAACATCACTAAGACATTATATATCTGAGTCCCACATTCTGGGTTCAGTCAGCTCTAAAGATGCTATATCCCCTTTGCCTCAGCGAAGGGTCTCAAGGCCCTTGGCTGAATAAGAAGAGAAGCAATACAGACTAGGAGCTGCCTCAACATGCCCTCTCCACCAGCTGTTTGTTTAGCCTTACTCCACAACTCACCTTCAGGGAAGATAAGAATAGGCAGTTTACTCTTGTCCTGGACATGCTCTGTCAGCCTAAACAGGAGAGAGTCACTGATTAGCACAGTGCTCATGCATGCAGCATGCAGTCCCTCAGCCTGCAGTCAGGGCAGACTAACTGGGTGCAACACTGGGTGTAACACTGCCAAAACCTCCCAACAGCCACAAGGGGAGGCAGTTTCCTCACCCAAGGGAATTGGGCAGCCCCACCTCCTCCCTGGCCTTCAGCCCTCCTGCTGCAGCCAGCACCTGTCACACCTTTTGGCGACGAGGTGACGATCTCTGACCTCAGAGCGTTCAAACCAGACGTGGGGGCAAGCTTTCACCATAGCTCTCTGTATCACACCCATGAGCCCTCCATGGATCTGGCCCACCTGAACAGGGCAAGAAGAGACAGGTTACAAGACTTGAGGACACATGAAGGCCAAGGCAGCTCCTGGCTTCACAGCCAAGTTGAGCTCCACTTTCCATCCCTGCCCTGGTAAGGCTGAGAGGAAAAGTCCCAGCCTCTGACTGGAAGGACAGATGTAGCAAGCCCCAGTGCTTTCCACATTAAAGGATGCCAAGCTGAGGAAGTGCTCTGCCCTCCCATGGACAGCAAAGGCCCGAACTCTACTTGCAAAGCAGTGTCCAGAGACCCTTGGTGCTCTGTGTCCCAGGCCAAACTTGCCGGCAAGTTGCACACAGCAGGGTATGTGTGCATAGGGTCTGAGGCAGCCCTGCAATGTCATGTAAGGCAGTTCTGCAGCTCAAAAGCCTCTTGCTGCCCACTCCTCGACCCATGCAATACAACTGCTGCTCCAACTATACATAGGGCAGGGCCTTGGCAGGCAGAGCTGTGGCTGAGGCGCAGACCTTACCATCGCATAGTAGCCATCGCTGGCTAGGATGATCACATCAATGGGGGATGTGTGATTGGCTACGCAGATACCTCCGTTTCGGGGTCTGTTTTCTCTAAATGTAAAACAAAGGTACAGATGAGGACAGGGGAATGAAGTGTGAGGCCTGTGAGAGCCACAGCATGGAGCAGCTAGCGGTGAGGGATATTCTGCAGCAGACAGTGCCTCCTTACCGGTCATGGTAGGTGATGATGGCTGTGAGGGCACGCACACAGATCCGGTAACACATCAGGTGGACATGCTTGCTCAGGAACTCCTTACACCTGCAGCCCAGGACAGAGAACATCATGCCCCTGTTCCATAAGCCCCCTGTAATGGTGCCACTCAGACCAGCCACCTCAGGCAACGAGATCCAGCTTTAACTTCGCATCACTCCCATATAAACACTTCCTGTGCTGGGTTTTGCTGTCAGCTTGTGACCACTGATTCTTAACTCATGAGAGGCAAATTTTGCTCTTTTTCTTCCTTTTAGAGCTCAGGGCTGAGAGCTCTGCCAGGGGCATAGTGCTCACTTTTAGGCCCTTTGTTTAAAATTAAAGGGCTTCTGTTCCAGCGAGGCGACAGAAGCCAGGACCACCTGCCTTTTCCTTGTCTGCAGCAGGCAGAATAGCCAGGCCTTTGCAGGAAAACTTCAAGATTATCAGCTTTCAAACGGCTCTGTCCCACAGGGGGGCTGCTCTGTCCCCTCTTCCCTCAAAGACCAACTCACCTTCCATTTGGCAAATATCCCACCACTGTAGTACCAGTCACCAACAAACTGATGCCAGTAAAGGCCAGGGCTATCCTGCAGAAAGAGCAAAGTTACATGCTAGCAAATCCAGGCCACAGGCCCTACTTATCAAGCAGCCTGCCTCGCCTGATCATACTGAACAGGATCAGTGGTGCTTGGAGACTAGCTGTTCCCTCGCTGCGGTGGGAACGGGCTGACAGCACAGTCTCAGCAGGCAGGTTCCTGCAGCAGCACTCACCTGAGGGGCAGAAGGAAACAGTAGCGGATGAGCATGCCTAGTCCCCAGAGTACAGTGAGGCGCAGGCTGATATACTGGAAGTTGTAGTTGGTCCTGCTGAGGAGGTTCCAGGACTCCAGCTCTTCAGCTGAAAACCTCTTGGTCACTTCATCATCCATGATGGTCTCGATGCCTTTGCGGCAGAAGTAGAAGATATCTGAGAGCTCAAACTCAGGTGTGTCCAGGGCTTTGCCACTGCCACTCCGGCGGATCTCCTTGATCTCCTCTTCCAGTGACGTAGGCTCCTTTGCAATGATACCTGCAACATGCCACAGGCAGCTCTGAGCAAAGTGTGACTTGCCCACCCAGAGAAAGCTATGAGCCAGGACCCTTACCCCTTGCCCTCCCATAGGGCCCCCTACCTTTCTCCAGTCCAGACAGGCATAAACCAGTCCCTTCCACCAATCCAGAGATAAGGCACTCCCTGGGTGCTTCCCTCACCTTCCTCATGAAATGGACCTTTCCATAGTTCCCTCCTATCTATCCACATGAAAAGAGCTTCCCAGAACACATCAACTGCTCAGAGACATCCCATTTACCTCACCTCCCATAAAGAATCTTGCACCTTCACATGCACCTAAGCACGAGGATAGCTAGCACTCTCGTGGGCAGGATCTTACCGTTGACATAGGGTTTGTATAACGGATGGTTCTTCTCCTTGGCACCACGCTCTATTCTCAGCGTTGCCCACTGCAAGAGACGCACACAGTAAGCAGGACTCTCAAGGCCTGCAGTCCCACCTCATACAACCCCTTCTTTACAGGCAGCTTCCAGGGATGACCACAGGTAAGGGGAGAAGATGGGACTAGAGCAGGAGGCTTACAAACAGAACTGAAAGAGCAAGTAACGAACAGAGAATTGAATAATGTGGAAGCAGAGAATAAGCTGGGAAACAGTTTTACCACTGACTCCTGTCTACAGTGGGATAAGATGACTGATGGGCAGGTGGCCAGCACAGGGCTAGGAAAGCCATGGTTTGCACACTTTCTCAGAGTCTCAAAGGGAAGAAATCAGAGCTAGAGGGTGGAAGTGTGCATAATGATGAGATGGCATAGCAGTGTTTTCTGCAGCCTCTGCGTCCTGTAGGCTCTGTTGCACCTGAAATGTGGGTGCCACTGGACAGCCTCCAGATGGACCTTGTAACCTGCATGTGCTCCTGCGGGGGTTGTATGCATCACAGCTCAGGGAGCAGATCATGGGACTGGCACTGTTTTCCAACTCTCATTTTTTCCAAGCTCAAATCAGAGACTGTGTTTTCAGGCTGCTGCTAAAAACATTAGGCTGATCTCGTGAGGGGATGGGATCCTTCCTTCCCCTGATTCAGCTAACAGGTGCTGCTGCTCCTCAGCACAGCAGTGAGTCCAAAACAGGAGCAAGGGGCACCCTCAGACTGCCAAACCCCATGCCCAGACTACCTATTATTCACAGAAATCTCTCCTCTTTCAGCTGCTTCTCAAGGGCAGCAGCAAAAAATGTAGTCTGAATTTCTAGCCAGTCGTCCTGCCTGCCCTCCAAGTAACCATCTCACTGTCACACTCTTCTGCATTACACAGGCCTGGAAAAACAAGTTTCCAAAGGATGACTTGTGCACAACATGCTTATTGCTCCAGGCTAGCTTCTCCATCAGGGGAAGGGCTACTGGCTGCTGGGAACTCCTGGCATCCCCAGCTCAACCCATTCCAGCATCAGATAAGGAGATAGTGCTGTGGGAATGCAGCTCATCTAGCAGCCTCCTCTGCCAGCAGAAGGCACTGCAGGATTGCAAAAGATTGTCCAGATCCTGCCATCCCAGCAGGAGACGTCAGAAGAGGTGCTCTGACCTAACAGAAGTTGGGCAGCCTATAGAGGTGTTGCTCACATTCCCAGCAAGTCCCTATCATGATTGTGGTAGCAAAAGGCCTAGACTCCCACCTGGGAAGCACTAGATAGGTCTTCCTCACCATCAACACATGTGTGGATGCAACTCCAGACGCAGCGGTTCTGGCCTGCGTCCCACAACTTGCCAGACTCAAAGCGCTGCTCCTCTGGGCTAGACTCGCAACATTGGTCTCCAGAGCCAGGAAAATCTGTTGAGTGAGTAACTCTTCCCCCAAAAGGGGGAACCATTCAGAACCATTCCCAGTTCTGATAACTAATTCTAATGCCTGAATTTTGCACCAAATCTTTGAGCGGTGCTGCCAGAGTGCCCTTCTCTCCCACCACAAAGATTCTTTGATAAAAGCTGAAACAGATTTCAAAGCAATTTCAGAAAAATAGTTTCAAAATTAAGCATCAAAATATGTGCTGAGATTAAATGTTCCTGAACTGACTTAAAAGAAGAAAAAAATTTCAGATAGAGCAAACTTCTTTTTAACTTTTTTCTTCTCGTTCAGCCACTAAATTTGAAGTCAGGTCATCAGACATCTCTGTTAATGGAGCACCTCACTAAGCCCTGGGTCTTTCCGTTCATACCTCATGCTTTTGGGAGAAATCAGAGTTTAAAGAGCTGAACATTGTGAGCTCCAGGGCTGCCTTCCCAAGCCAGCCAGCACAGAGATACTCCCTGGGAAGACCAGTCCTGTTCAAACAACAACAACTGTACCACATAATTTTTAGCAATTTGAATTCTACATCTAAAAGTGTGAAACTTCCCTAATAAGTACAGGGTACCTCTTTTCCTTTCCCTTGGGCTGTCAGGGTGGGGTGGTATAGGTATCATCTATTGGGAGTTTGGTCTCACCAGAGACTTGACTCAAGTAGTGGTGTTGGCTGTGAGACAGCCCAGAAAGTCAGTCTGCCAAAGGTAGGCAAGGGAACAGCACGACCCCAACTTGGAAAATTCTACTTGGCTTCTCTGTGCCAAGAGGGGCAGTGAGGGCTGCTGGTTGTCCTCAGAGGGCTGCAGGTCCAGAAATGGCTGCTGGACTCAGCAGATAAGCAGACAGCACTCTGCGATAAAAAGATATTGAGAGGCCTGGGTTCTGGCCACAGAGCATTCAGGGCTTGCAGCCCAGAGCACAGAAAGTCCTGACTTGCCTACTGCTTTTGCTTCATCCAAACATGTATTAAAGATAAGCAGCCCACTGACTGCAGCCTTGTCCTTCCCCATCCATGCCCTACACCCCTCTTGGCTTCTTTCCATATCAAACTGTTATAGCACTCTGCCTTGCCTGGAATATTAACCCATCCAAGCACCTGCCTCTTGCAAGAGATCTGCACTATCCTACTAGACTACTCGCAGTCTTAACAGTTTAACTACAGGGAAAAAAAACAGCCCATGAACAGAGGTCTAGTAAACTGCATTAGCTGAGATGACTGCAAAAGGTCATCTAGCAATTGCCAGCCCCACCACATGCCACCAATAAACCAACCTCCCACCCCAGTGTCTAGAATGCTCTGCTGAGGGGCAAAAGCCTCTCTTGCTAGCTTGACTGTGCCTGACATAAACATGCCTCCAACACAGCAAATTCTGAAAACATGACTTACCTGAAAAATCTTTAATAATGTTTTCATGTAAACCTTGCGGATGCCAAAGGAGACTCCAAAAATTGCTGGCACAATGATGAAAACCAGAAGCAGAGTGAAGAGGACAGTTAAGGAAATCCCCAACAGGTTAACAACCAGGCTGTCAAAAGGGAGCAGGAGGAACATGGTGAAGGGCCCAGGCAAGGCTGGTGCCCTGCAACCCTGCAGCCAGAGGGGAAGGCTGCCCGCAGTGATTAACCAGTCCTCCTGTTATTCAGCAATAGTCTCACACATGCACTGAGTCTGCAGCTGCTCACAGACCCCATTCCAAAGTTCACATCCTTTTGGGGCTCTGCGAGGGAGGGAACGCAACAGGATCAGGAAAAGTGGCTGGGAAGACAAGCAAACAGACTGTCAGGAGCCCAGGTGAGTTCAGACAGCTTGGGCTGAAGAGCTCAGGAAAGATGGAACATATACCTAGGTTCCTCCGTGGGTTTGCAGTGGGTACTGTAGCAAAACAACTGTCTGAATGGGTAGTCTCCTGAGGCGTTGCTGAACAGGTCCTGCTGTGGAGCAGCTTGTGAAGAAGCTGGTAGGAGATTTCCCTTCTGGCTACTGAGAGCATGCAGAGTCTCTTCACGGGGACAAGGTGGAGTCCATCCCTGAGCCTGCATTGGAGGAGATCTAGGGAGTTGGCACTTCCAGGAGCCTACCGTATGTGGAGCTATTATTGTTTTTTCCACGAGGACACAGGCACTGGCGCAGATCCTCTCATGACGCCTGTACAAGGTTAATTCCAGAGGCCCCCTGGCATCCACTCACGCTGAACGATCGTAACAGACACAAATGAAGCCTGTGTCCCTGGAGAGCTCTTCAAACAGCAAGTTGGCTTCTTGGCAGAAGAGGCACTCACATGCCACCCAGCCCTGGGTTGGAAAGAAAAACCAACGTCAGGCAAGTCACACAACTCGAGGAGACGTCAACTCAAGAGATGGTGGCAGGAGGCCAGGGACAGTGGGCTCTGAAACCAGGAAGACAGTGCTCAGGCTGAGGACACGTCACTTACTGAGCAGCTCCTGGAACACAGCAGACTTGGGCTGTCACTCCAGCTACTCTCTTGCACTGTTAGAGCCTTGGGAATCAGCCCCCTGCCGCCACATGCCCTGTTTTCATCCCAGATCCACAACTCGGATTGAGCAGACTTGTCCAGAACAACCCTTATAGGGAAGATGTTGACAGCCTCTCTAATGAGGTCCCGAGAACAGGAGAGGAGCCAATGGAGTGTCAGAAAACCTTTCCTAATGACAAAGATCTTATCGATTCTCTCTCATTTCAGAGGAATCCAAAAGCACTGAACTAGCTACAGCACCCAGATTCCTGGGTAGGAATCATTTCCTCTGCCACTGTACACACATCTCCTGGGTGCGGTTCACCAGCTGGTTAACAGAGGGCAGCTTTATAAACAGTTCATGACAGGAAGTTAGCCCAAGGGGAGAATTACTGCTTATGATTAGCCAAACTAGAACTTGTCTGGGCACAGAGACTAACCAAAGGTCAAAAGCCTAGCACTTTGCCTCTTCTGGGGGTGGATACCCCCAGCAGCACAGGTACACATACTAGAGCACAGAGCCAACTGAGACTAGTAAAAAGAGCTAAGTCTGCTAAGGGGAGACTTCTCTCCGGATACCACCTTCACAGGACTATGAAAGGCACGAGTGTCACCCTGGGGCAGGCCTCAATATGTACTTGACGTGAGCGTAAGAGCAGTGGTGAGAGGCTGGGAAGAGTCCTTAGCAACTCTGCATGGGTTGTTCCAGCTGCTGGCTCAGCACCATTATTCTGATAATGCTAAGACATCACTAGGGCTTCAAAGAAACATGCAAGCTTGTATAAACTATCTCCTGGAAGAAGCAGCTTCTGTTCTCTGTAGCTGAACAGGCAGCTGCCCATCATGCCAGACCTCTCATGCACCCAAGCCAAGACTCATGCCCCCAAACTAACTGGTCAGACCAGCCGTTTGAGCTGGCACCTGAGTGTGCTAAAAGGAACTCAATTAATGCATTCCCTCACTGTATCACTCAGTTGTGGCCTATCAGGGCAAGCCACGTGCCAGCAGCATGCATGGCCAGGGGCAAGGTGTGATGAACCCTGGGCCAGTCTAATCAGCTCTACCTGCTGGCTTCAGCCCTCCAGCCAGGACAAGGCTACGATGCGCACCAGCTGCCTGGATTTCTGGCCAGCATCACCAGTGTAACTCGCCTGCGTGGAGGTGGGAGTCCTCCTGGTGGAGCCACAGCCTAAACAGCAGGGCCATCACACCCAGCAGAGGCTGCCCCCGGCAATCT